TGCTCATTGTAGCCATTAATCCTGACTTCCTCATTTTGATTTAAAAAATCAGCACAAATTCATTTATTCATTTTTGTTTTGGAGGTCAAAGTGTTCTATACAACACTCCTGACTTAAAATGTTGCCGATCAATTTTCATTTATTATTATTTATTGATTGTATTTAATTTCACTGTTCAGTATCAAATGGTCAAAAATGTTTACAGTTTAAATAAGGATATACATTTTTTTAATTTCAGGCAAATTGATGAACTTTAAGCCTTTTCTGTTACAGATTATAAAACAATGTTAATAATGTTTGTTGTAAGTTGATCTATATTTCTTTCTTTATTTAATGTTAATAAGGGTACAATGTTATTCTGTGGAAGAAACACTGTTCTTCAGTCTTTTTGTCCTTATAAACAAAATTTAATGAGTGATAAACAATAATGAAAGAAATATGGCCAATCAGAACCTTGACCAACTTTCTTTTTTGACAGTCATTTCCAGTGAGAACCTTAACGTTCCACGACTTGTGGACGTGAGAACCTTAATGTTCCACGACTTGTTCCACGACTTGTGGAGATGACCTCAGCGGTCCTCAGTATTACTTGTGTTTGCCATGAGAAGTGTTTCGGCCACACTGATCCAGAGCACTCAGTCACTGTGAAGACCAAACGCAGTGCTGAAAACAGGTTTTCACACGTGGAAAAGAAAAAGAAAAGCACTGAGTCTTGTTCTGCTTTCAGTTCTGGTTCTGCTGGTTCTGTCCCCTCACATTTACATAAACACTGAAAGCTGCAGCAACACTGAACCTCATCAAGAAAAGCCACTACAAAACGATGTTTTTACTTAGATGAATTTTTAAAAGTATACTTCTGATGTCAAGGGAAATAAAAACTTGCTGTTTGTTGTAACAATGTTGGAGCATCGGGCAAACTCAAATTGTGGCACTCCTTGAAGGAATGCTTATCACCAGCTGCCTTTCGTGCCAGGGGTTGACACTCTTCTGATGTTGAAGATAGCTGTTTTGGTCATGCCTCATGAGGGACAGCATGTCTGACACTCTGTGACACTTCATAACTGTAAAAATTGCTGAATTGAACAACCGTGTTTGCTAATGTCTCTTAGCTGCAGCTGCCATCTTAAACTGGGCTGAGTTGTAGATGTACATCCAGTGATTACTTTGAGACTTTTTCCAAAATCTGTCCATGTGCTAATGAGTTATTTTGCTAACAGTACAGAAAAATGAACACAAACAAGACAGTACCAATTACATTAACCCACTCATTATTTTCAGCAAAAACATAAAACAAGCAACTGTTAGGATGCCTTCTGTGTTATCTGACAGTTTGCTGTTGAGCTCATCAGGTCTCTCTTGTAAATGAGTCCCTGAAACTCAATGGGATTAACCTGTCTAAATAAAAGTTGAATTAAAGCTGAAGTTTGTGTGGCCTTTTGCTACTTGTAGCTAGTGGGTTGCTACATTTAGCTAGTGTTTTGATACTAATAGCTAGCGCTTTGCTACTTTTAGCTAGTAATTTGCTTTGTTTAGCTAGTGTTGTGCTAGTATGTGTATGTGTGCTAGTAGTACATAGCTAGTGTTTTGCTACTCATGGCCAGTGTTTTGCTACTCATGGCTAGTGTTTTGCTACTCATGGCTAGTGTTTTGCTACTCGTAGCTAGTGTTTTGTTATTTTTAGCTAGTGTTTTGCTACTCTTAGCTAGTGTTTTGCTACTCTTAGCTAGTGTTTTGATACTCAGCTAGTGTTTTGCTACTCTTAGCTAGTGTTTTGATACTCAGCTAGTGTTTTGCTACTCTTAGCTAGTGTTTTGCTACACTTAGCTAGTGTTTTGATACTCAACTAGTGTTTTGATACTCTTAGCTAGTGTTTTGCTACGCTTAGCTAGTGTTTTGATACTTAGCTAGTGTTTTGCTACTCTTAGCTAGTGTTTTGCTACTCAGCTAGTGTTTTGCTATTTTTAGCTAGTGTTTTGCTACTTTTATCTTTCATAGTATTAGCTAGTTTCACTATAGTTGCACATTATCTAGTGTTTTGTTACCCTTAGCTAATGTTCTGTTATCCTTAGCTAGTGTTTTGCTATTTTTAGCTAGTGTTTTGCTACTCATAGCTAGTGTTTTGCTATTTTTAGCTAGTGTTTTGCTACTTTTATCTTTCATAGTATTAGCTAGTTTCACTATAGTTGCACATTATCTAGTGTTTTGTTACCCTTAGCTAATGTTCTGTTATCCTTAGCTAGTGTTTTGCTATTTTTAGCTAGTGTTTTGCTACTCATAGCT